CAATAGTGTATCCTTTCTCTTCCGGCTTGGTAGCCTCATTCCTGTTCATCTGCTGGAAGTATGCTCGCTGATGTGCACTTGTATGTGTCCGTAAAACAGTCTGTTTATCCAAATAGTATGTGTCTGTCCGGCTTCGACCCGGATGATCTGCTGGGAAACCTAGGTCGTCAAAGTTCCGCGCTGCAGGAACAATTGGATCCGGTTCAGCATAGTTCCCAAATTCAGGGCCGGAGAATTGGCTCTCGACGAGCTTCCGAGTTATTGAGAGAGGATGGTTCTCGTCTAGATATAAACCACGGCCGAGGTGCGCCAGGATGTGACTGGGGGCGTTTGTCCATTCATCCGGCTGGTAGGACTTGTTTCCCACGGTCAAAGCTGGAGAAGACGATGTAATTGATGGCGCTGGTTTTGTTCCGACGCTCTCCTTGTCCTTTGGAGCTGCAGTAGAGCTGTTGAACCGGGGTCGTAATGCTTTCGATTGGTATGTGAGTAATGGATTGATATAAATCGGTCGCGGTGCAGCCAAATTCGAGGCAGCCAAAGACCATCTGCAGGAAACCTGCAGGGCCCGTCCTGTCGCCAGCAAATGCATCCTGTCTGTCTCTTCTTCTCGGCTGCTCCTCTTCCCGTTGTCGTCGTCGACTTCAGCTGCTTCAGCTCGGCCTTGTAAATATCAGCAGCTCGTCGTAATTTTCGCTCGGTGATGTTCCGCCTACGTATCGAAAATTACCAGGAACTACTATCTCCAGCCAATTACCGTGAGCCGGGGAATAGATATCGTGTATCGTAATGTAAGATGGATCCCATGTAAATCCAGAGCTCGCAAAGGCGAATTAAAAGCTCCAGAAAGCCGTTGGAAAGGGGAGAAAAACGGCGATTCTTGCTCTTCTCCAGCATCACCTAGACAGCTTCGTCAGAGGCAAGGATGTGCAGTTTGAGAGCGTCGATATGGGCAAGAAAGGAGTGATCGAGGGCGGTGCCTCGCAGCCGGGCGTGCATTATCCGTTCTGGTTTGGAGGCTCAGCTTCTTGCTGTGCGGCGGGGGTGACACATCCCTTGGATCTTGGTGAGATGACAGCTGGACAGATTTCGTGGTGTTTGATGGGACTAAATACTGACGGATTGCTCTAGTTAAGGTATAAGATCTCCCACGTTGGCTTCTTGATGGAGGATATCATGTTGATATCTGGTTTGACAGGTCCGGCTACAAACTCGAGGACCAAATGACCCAACCGGGATGCTCCGGACCATAGTCCATATATGTAAAAATGAGGGATTCCTAGGTCTCTACAGCGGAGTAAGGCCTCTTTAGTCCTATAGACAACTTTGACATGATATGCTGATGGTTACGAGGTTAGCTCTCCGCTTCAGTACTACGACAGTTGACATATTCAACGACTCGGTTCGGAGTTTACGAGGAACTCAAGACTCGAGTCAACGAGGCGTCTCCTTCTTCTCCCCCGTCTTTGCCTACGCTTATTGCCATGGCATCAGTATCCGGCTTCCTGGGCGGACTGGTAGGTAACCCCGCAGACGTATTGAACGTACGAATGCAATCAGATGCCGGCCTCCCTCCGGAGAAGAGACGGAACTACAAGCATGCACTTGACGGGCTAGTTCGGATGATACGCTCAGAGGGCATCAGCAGTGCATTTAGAGGTGTTTGGCCCAACTCGGCCAGAGCAGTGTTGATGACTGCGTCGCAACTGGCTACCTATGATGCGTTCAAAGGTATATGTATCGGTAACCTGGGTATGAAGGATAACCTGACGACACATTTTACTTCGTCCTTCATGGCCGGGTTTGTAGCTACGTCTGTGTGCAGTCCTGTGGACGTGATCAAGACCAGAATCATGCATGCCAGTCCCGCGGAGAGTAAAGGACACAGCTTCGTTGGACTGCTGAGAGACGTGTTTAAGAAAGAAGGGTTTACTTGGATGTTCAGAGGATGGACACCCAGCTTCATCCGGCTAGGACCTCATACCATTGCGACGTTTTTGTTCCTGGAGCAGCATAAGAAGGTGTATCGTGCATTGAAGGGGGTTCAGTCGGAGGCATCGATCTAGTTGGGAGTTTATCTAAAGGTCAATTGGATATACTGTAGTTTCTGATATGTTTAGGATAGACTAGATTACATTCTATCTGGCGCGGGGGGTTGTTCTTAATAATATTGATACCGATGCAAAAGGAATAAAGATAGTCGTTTTTTTTTTTTTTGCTTTGAAATCCTGCTTTAATATTGAGACAGTATTATATACACTTCTTTAACCATCAGCAAGCCCGAGGAGCTGTGACATCGATAACATCAGCCCGAGGCTATCCTAAAAGAAATCTATCGGTCGAGGCGAGCAGGAAAGTTGCCGGCTTCTGAGGAAGATATTAGTATCAACTTGACGCTCACCATACAGACTGGGGGGTCATACCTCTCTGGTCGTCCCATCGATCGGTCCAGGACTTGGGGCAGAGAGATCGGTAAGCAAGGAAAAACTAGAATTGGGTCAGATGCATGGTTCAATCGGCTATGGGTGCTTGTATGGGCAGTACCTGTCTGCAGGGCTTGAACTCCTCTCCCTTGGCGTTGATGCACTTGTGGTAGTCAACGTAGTTTTGCCAGCAGTGCTTGGTCCTAGACACGCCGTTAGATTAATTTATTCGCCGACATATTGCTGTCAATTGGACCTGACTTACTGGTTCTGGTTGGGGAAACGGGCGTCGAAGCCTAGAGTACGGTCAGCCACCTCACCACTCTCACAAAAACAGTCCAAACCAAACGGGAAGGTCATCGTAAACAGTGCCTAGGATTTCTATCACGTACCAGCTATCGAGCAGAGTCAGCAATTGCACACAGTCAGCGCCGGTTAAGGACAGCTACGAGGGTAAACGAAGAGCAGGGCAGGAGAATCAACATACCAGTCACGAACTTGAAGGGCTTGGTCTCGACGGGCTCATCGGGGTCGGCGTCTGGAATCTCGGCAGGCATGGTGGCTGGTTCGCAAACGCAATTGACCGTGTTCTCAACGTCGGCGGGGCGGGGAGCTGTTCTTCGCTCGTCTGGTGGTCGTTTCGTCAAGGTCTTCGTCGGTTGGTGTGAAGTTGGAGTTGAAGTTGCGTGACAAAAGAAAAAGTCCCGTGAGAGCGGATGACTAAGCGAATCAGGCGAATCAGGCATTCAGCTTTACTCTTCCCACTCTCATCCTCTTCGTGAACAACGTACGATACAAACAAGCGAACGACGACCTGTGCACCAGCGACTGCACAACACCCTGAACTCGACCCTGCGGCGTTTGAACGAGCTGCCTGAATATCCAGCAACGATGTTTGCCACCCGTGCCCTCGGCTTCCGGTCGGCTCGACCTCTCTTTGAGCCCATCCCCGTAAGTTGCTACGTTTTTCTTGCTCTGCTCTGCTTTGTTCTCCGCCTGTATTCCAGTAGTAAAGGTTCTAACAGCTCCGTATAGAAGGAACAGCAAAGCGGTAAGCTCTGGGACCCTCAATCTACCCATTTGGCAGGCCAATGCCGTGGTTTGACGTCGCCGGGCCCGTCTGACAATCTCCCCGTTGAACTCTAGCTCACACCATCTCCCAACGTCTGCGAACACTCAAGAAGATTCCTCCGGAGTTGATCCCTCTTGGTGAGTAATATGCTTTTAAAGTGATAGGCTAACAGGAATTGAATTGATCGTGCTAACAGTCTATTTACTTAGGTGTCGTCCTTTCGTAAGATTCCGCCATTATCAAATACCCAAGAAGACCCCCATACTAACACCTTCCAGTGTTGCCATTTGCGCCGCCATTTACTCCAGTGGAAAGAAGCTGTTTGAGGATAAGACCCTGCGTCTCAGCCGATCGAAGCGCGAGGACCACTAAGCCTGGATTCTCCTTCCGGGTGTGGAACAAGGAGAAAAGGGATGATGGGCGCGGCATAAATATGTTTGAGTAGCAGATTTAGGAGCAGAAAATTAATGCAATCATCTCCTTGTATCGTTAAGACGGCAGCTGAGTGTTGGTGGCGGTCTTTTGTACATATATGAGATAATTCAGCACAGCTTGCTTGCTTTCCTCAGTGCTGCGTCTTGTTTGATTCTGATTTTGATAGCTCTCCAGCTGTACGGCATGGCTGGCTATGCTGGCTTCGGGCCTGCAACGTCCAGTCCCTCTAAACCTTGCATAGGGTCTTCAGGCCGGTTGTTGCTGGCACCGGCTTCTCCTGTAGCAAGCTGGTCTTCCTCGCTGACTGCGTGTTTGGCTAGATATCCCTCCTGTAAACCGTATTAATATTATGGTTCTTTACTCCATTTATACTTAATCCAAGGGTAAACACACCTGCTCCCATATAGCCGTCTTACTGCCTAGCCCCTCGTTGCTTTCTTTCTGCGGTTTTGCTGCCGCTACTTTGATAGTTCGCCCATACAGCTCGCTCTGGTCCATGTTGTCGATCGCCTCTTTGGCATCCTGAGGCAGCTCAAACTCGATATATCCGAATCCCCGGTGCAGATCCGTGGACGAAGGCAGCTCTGGCTTCGGCAGCGAGATATCAGTTATCTCGCCAAAGGGGATGAACGCTTCGCTCAGCGTCCGCACCGTAACCGCCTGATCGAGCCCGCCCACGTAGATGGTGCCTTTTAGCCTGGATGCGTCCGTCATCGTCTATTCTGCATCTACTGTCTTCCTGCGGCCGCCTTCTCTCTCTGCGACTCTGCTTTGCTCTCTTCACACCTTTTCACTTACTTCGTCGTTTTATCAAAATCTCATATCACGTGATCGCCTACTAAAAGGCCACCTTGTTGCCCCTTTGAAGCCCAACAACAAAACGACATTTGATATATCGAGTATAAACAGCCAGCTTGTCCTTGTCTTGTTACCGTCTGCTCGCTGACAGGGCCTTTTGACACTAAAGGAGACCTGCTTCCCGTCTAGACGGCCAGTCGGGGGTTTCCTTCTTTTCCCCTTTCTTCTAGTTTTCTCTCCGTGATCCCTGGTATCTAGCAACACATTCGACCATGGTGCGTCTACGACAGATACCACGCAGTGCGGCCTTCGCCTGGTCCCCGGGCCATTCTTCTCCCTTCCTAGCGACCGGAACGCATGTTAGAGCCGTCGACGTCGATTTCTCCAACGAGACCTTTCTAGAATTATGGGATCTCAAGCTTGATGGTGAGAATGTGGGAGCGGAGCTGCAGCCTGTAGCCAAGATTAGCACAGAGTCTAGGTGAGCTCCACGGCGATATTACAGACGGCGGTGGAATGCTGTCAATTGGAAATGACGGCTCACTGATTTTGTTGTAGGTTCCATGACCTTGGGTGGGCAGAGACAGAGGATAGCACTAGAGGGCTTATTGCGGGAGCGTTGGAGAACGGAGCCCTGAATCTATGGGACGCTGCAAAGCTACTGGATGGCTCTAGGTTTGTGATTATGGAATTGACTGTTTACGGAAACCATTGAGCTGACTGTTCGTAGCAGTGAACCAGCCATGAAAGTGGCTGCTCATAGCGGGGCAGTCAAAACGCTCCAATTTCACCCTAGGCATTCCAATCTCCTGGCCAGTGGTGGAAGCGTAGGGGAGGTTAGTGATGCTTCTCAATTCGTCTACGCTGTGAACCTTTTGCTAAATTTCTTGTTTAATAGTTGTTTATTACCGACTTGAATAACATCGAGAATCCAACTAGACTGGGCAAAGTCGCCGCCAGCCAAGTCGAGATAGACTGCCTCGACTGGAACAAGAAAGTACCCCATATCCTAGCCACGGGAAACAGTAACGGGTTCGTAACGGTATGGGATGCTAAGGCCGGAAAGGAGAGCTTGACCCTCAAGAACCTGGGTCGTAAGCCTGTCAGTGCTATCGCTTGGGATCCAGAGAAGCCTACCAGACTAGTTACGTCGATTCCCCTCGAGACTGATCCGGTTATCCTTGTTTGGGACCTGCGCAACGCCAATGCACCCGAACGAGTACTAAAGGGTCATGAATCCGGCGTCCTCTCACTGTCGTGGTGTCCCCAGGACCCGAGACTCCTCCTTTCCAGTGGCGAAGACAACCGAAATATATGCTGGAACCCGCAGACCGGCGAGGCATATGGAGAATTCCCAATCGTTACAAATGCCACTTTCCAGACTCGATTCAATCCTACCAATCCCAATATTCTTGCTACTGCCTCTTTGGATGGAAAGATCTCCGTTCAGACGCTCCAAAACACTAATCCCGAAACGGCGCAAAAGGGCGACGATGCGCAACCTCTAAATGATGAAGACTTCTTTGCCAAAGCACAGACTCAACCACAAGGCCCTACTTTCTCCCTACCAAAAGCTCCCAAATGGTTTGAGCGTCCTACCACCGCCAACTTTGGTTTTGGTGGAAGGGTCATCTCAGTGGTGACTGCCCCAGGGACACGGACGTCAACTATCCGTATCAGCAAGTTTGAGGTAGATGCTAGCATTGGTGCTGCCACTGATGCTTTTGAGTCAGCTTTGAGCTCTGGAGACGTCCGCAGTATTTGCGAGTCTCGAGCTGCCGAGGCTAAGACCGAAGAGGAGAAATCTGACTGGAAGGTTATGACTACTTTGATGTCGGAGACGCCTAGAAAGGAACTCATTACTCACCTTGGATTTTCTGGCGATGTTGATGAGGCTGCAGACAGCTTAGCCAAGCTCGGGCTGAAAACGGAGGAATCAGAAGAAAAGAAAGTGGAGGAGAAAGAGAAGCCATCTCTCGCACCTCCTGCAGGAGTCAGGAAACATAAGAGGCTTACTTCTATCTTTGATACTGGGGCTGATGGCGAGAGTGACAGCTTCTTGACTGACCTATCTGCTTCCAAGGCGGCTCAGACCAACAGTCCCTTCCAGTTGTTTACGGGAGAGGAGACTGAAGCAGACAAGTCTATCACCAAAGCTCTTATACAGGGTCAATTCGACAAGGCCCTTGAGATCTGCCTCAAGGAGGACCGAATGGCTGATGCTCTTATGATCGCTCTATCTGGTGGTCAGGAGTGCATTGAAAAGGCCCAAGAGGCGTACTTCCTCAAGAAATGTGAGGGGCCCAGCTACATCCGCCTACTAGCATCTATCGCTGGCAAGGATATCTGGGACGTCGTTCATAATGCGGACCTTAAAAACTGGAAGGAGATAGTTGCTGTCATTTGCACTTTTGCTGATGATAAGGATTATCCCGAACTTTGCGAAGCTCTTGGTGATAGGCTGGAAGAGTACTCAAGAACTCATGATAGCAAGGAGACTCGCAAGGACGCTTCTTTCTGCTACTTGGCCAGTTCCAAGCTGGAGAAGGTTGTGTCTATCTGGATTCAGGAACTCAAGGAGAATGAGAGCAAGATGGTTGAGACCGCCTCTGGTGAGACTGGATTTTCGATCCACGTCCAAGTCCTCAGAGACTTCATCGAGAAGGTCACAGTGTTCCGCCAAGTGTCCAAGTTCGTTGACGCTGAAAAAGATAAGCCATCGGACTGGAAACTCACTTCTCTCTACGACAAGTACATTGAGTATGCCGAGATCGTTGCTACTCATGGCAGATTGGAGGTAGCAGAGAAGTACCTCAGCTTACTACCAGATAGCCATCCGGCAGGAGGCCCTGCAAAGAACCGCATCCAACTAGCCACCAAGAAAGCTACCACCAAGGCCGCCTCCAAAGCAGCTTCGCATATTCCAGCAGCCCGACAAGCTTCAACAGCCCTGCCGCAGCCATCGCTTGGAGGATACACTCCTGTCCAGCCTCCGGTGCCCCAGCAGCCGCCAATGATGAACCGTGGACCAACTCCAAACAACCCGTACGCACCACCAGCCTTCAACCAACCCGCCAACCCTTACGCCCCAAGTGCTCAGACATCAAGCTATGCACCCACCACCGGCTACCAACCGACACAGCAGCCGGGTATCGCCCCTCCTTTATTCCCCGGTCAGCAAGCCCATGGAGTTCCGCCACCTCCCAGAGGCCTAACCCAATCTCCCTCCACAGTAAAGCCGCACACGGAACGAAGCAATGTCCCTGCATGGAACGATCTTCCCGAAGGCTTTGCAAGGACTCCAACCCCCCGACGTGGAACTCCAAGCCAGGGTCCTGCGGTCATCAGTTCGCCGTTCCCCAATCAGCAACAGCAGGCCCAGAGTCCTCCTCCACCTCCTGGTCCTCCAGTTGCAGGCCATCGAGGTTCAATGCCTGTTCCTCCACCTCCAAAGGGTCCCTTCCCAGCAGCATCACATGCAACTCCTCCAGGCTCTGCGGGAGGCACTCAATTTGTACCACCGGAGCGCCCGTCGTCTACTGCTAACCTATATGCTCCCCCTCCAGCACAACACCCACCAACAGGAGCGGCCGGTGGTCCTCCACACATCGCCCGCAGTGCATCCCCTTACACTCCTCCACCAGCCGGCGCACCCCCATCAAACCGATATGCCCCAGTAGCGTCGGCCCAGCCATCTCACCCACCTGGACCACCTGGACCCTCCGGGCCTCCGGGACCACCCCAACAGGCTCCCGGCCCAGGCCCATACGGATCTCAGCGATTCCAGCCTGCACCACCACCACAGGGAGGACCTCCTCAGGGCCCGTATGCACCACAAGGAGGCCAGTTCACTCAACCTCCTCCACCACCACATACCGGTGCTCCTCCACGACAGGACTCCCGACCAAGTACCGGCCAATCGCAGAAGAACGCTCCCACAGCTCCTCCCAAGTACCGTAAGTTGATCATCTGCCACATCTACAATACATGTCTGTAACTGATCCGATAACTAACCCGTCCATAGCTGCCGGTGACCGTTCACATATCCCAGACAATGCCAAGCCAATCTTCGAAATTCTCTCTGCTGACATGCAGCGCGTAAAAGCTCGTGCTCCATCTAGCTTCAAGGCTCAAGTCAACGACACTGAACGAAGACTAAACATCCTGTTCGATCATTTGAACAACGAAGATCTGCTGAAGCCTGCCACAATTGACAGCATGGTTGAGCTAGCTCGAGCTATCCAGAGCAGAGAATACGAAGCCGCGCAGGCAATTCATCTGGACATTCTGACCAACCGCACTGATGAATGCGGAAACTGGATGGTATGTCACTTACTACCTGACATCAAACAATTAACACATACTAACTTCTATCTAGGTCGGTGTCAAACGATTGATTGGCATGAGCAAAGCAACGCCATGAACGGAATGAAAAAAAAAGCCTCCTTTCTCTTCACCTCTGACCTAGTTAGCATTTAACACTTTTCTACAATGCCGGAATTTTTAAATGTCGTTATGAAGATGATCGTACATGGCCCTTTTCTCTCTTGGAGTTGATTTTGCGTCTATTTCGGTTCTTATGGTTGAAATAGAGAAATCGGAGGTGTACAGCCCCCGCCTCTGGGGGTGACAAGGTAACAGAAAAAGGGCGGTGGAAGCATGGGGGGGAAAAAGGCAGATAATGTGATTCTGATATGATGTTGATATTAGGAACTCATTTTATATTAATGTATTGATTGTTCTATATGACGTTTCTATAAATATATACTGTCCTTTCGTCTCTCATTATTTAAACATCGTCAAAAATGATCACATATATACGTACGCACGTCTAGAGGCAAAAGCTATATCCTTTTCCGGATCTTGATTTCCAGCGCCCGCAAAGGGAGGTACAAGATCCCACTTAGCACCATGGCAACTTCAAATCCAATGTCGCCCGTGATCTTCGCAATCGGGCCCTGGAACCAAGTCTGCAACATGCACGGCACCACAAGCGCAAACGACAACGCACCCGCCGCTATAGCAGCCACACCACTCGGCAAGGCAGCGGCGTCGTTCCAAATGGTGGCATCGTACGAGGCATAATCATCTTTTCTAAAAACAACATGCTCGATAGCGATGATGGCCACAAACGTAGCGGACCAATATGATATGACTGCAGCGAAATTCTCAAGCGAGACAAAGAAACTTACCGCCGCCCGTATCGATACTGGTATGACGATTGCTATGAACACGATGGCAAATATGGCGCGGGGCACGCGCAGGAATATAGGCAGTAGAAGCTGGAAGTTCAGCGAGATGCTGTAGATGCTTGCGGCGATGTTACCGAGGGTAGAGAAGGTGAGTAAGACGATGATGAATTTGCCGAATCCGCCGGCAGAAGCGAGCATGGCGGCGAGAATCCCGCCGACGGAACCGGTTTCGTATGCTGAAGACCAGCTGGGTATGTTTGGTACTGCGCCGCCTATTGCTGCGCCGAGGATCATTAGGGGTATATTTGGTAGACAGAGGCCGGCGTATACGGCTGCAAAGACATGTTTTCTGTCACGCACGCGTTAGTTAGTTGTTGAGGGTGCTGGGAAGTGGGAAGCTCAAAAAAACGTACGAGTTCACGCTTGGATGGAAGTAGGCGCAGTAATCTGAACTTAGCGCTGCCCAGGGAATAAGGAAGCCGGCGAGGAGCCCGCCGAACGATAGAATTGGTACTGCTGTTGCTGGTGGTGGGGTGTGCTGGTTAGCGAGGTACTTCCCTCCAAAACCCGTGGCGACCGCGAGCGAGATCAGCGTGGGTATCCAGGCCCATTTCTCATAGTGGTATAGCACCCTATACCCGAAGAACGAAATGAACAGTGCCACGCAGGCTACGATAACGATGCCGACGTTTACGCTTAAATCGCCATTGATAGCTGAGAGAGTTTGTCCGCCAATCACGCAGTTGATAATCGTGAAGCCAGACATGGTTGACATGTTCAGCAGCACTACGATGTTGACTAGATATAACCTATCAACGGCGTTAGATGGACCATGCAACCAGGCCGGGGTATTTGGGGGGGGGGATGATGAGTTTGGCAAGGTATGGGCGTACCCATAGCTATAACGGGCCTGTATCATTTGCCGCATGCCGGTCTTCGGTCCAAAGACGGAAAGGTATGCGGGTGGGACAGTGCATAGTAAGTTGAAGAAGATAATCACCAGCGATGCATCGCGTAAGCTCAGTTTTAAACTTAACGTGCCAACCATGCCGGTTATAACGCTGTGATCGTTGGTTAGCGGTGTTTTAGACAGTTCGACGTTCCACTGCAGGATGTATTGATCTAACGCACGGTAACAGGTTGCAGCTGATAGTGAACCAGAGGACGAATAGGCTGAATACGTTCCTATCCGTCCGATCCTTGAGGTCAACGGGAACGATACCTCGGAGCTCGACACCCCATGATGCGAGACGGGACCAGAATGTAGATATGTAGCTTTGTACTGTTAGCGGTGCTGGGGCCGATGACTCGGTGGGTGGTGCTGGGTGTTTTTCGATGTCTTCGGGTGTGGAGGCCGTCCCGCCGGGAGATGGCTGTCTGTCTGGACGTGCCATTGATAGACTATACAAGGCCAAAACACCAACACCTCCAAGCAGCCGGATGCATTAAATGATAAGATATTATCCAGAAGGAAATAAAGATAAAAATGTCAAGAAAAAGGCGAACTTTTTGCTTTGCCGAAGCTTGACTCACGTGCCGGCGGCTGCGCTTAAAATTGCCCCGCTCGCGGCTAACACTAACTATTTATAGATCGCCGGCTATGTAACAATCGAGATCCAAGTCGAAGTCATATACAAAAGGAATTTAAAGGCGTGGTGTTAGCTCTGGAACATGACGACGGCTGAGTTCTTGACTACCTCTGGGCCCAATGTAGCAGCAAGTTCGGCAACGATGCCCTTGATGGCCTGTGGGTTCTTGACACTCGACGTTTCCCACCCAACGAGGTCCTGTACCGTTAGTATGAGACTTGGGACGGAAAGAGTAGAAGAAGGTGGTTAACGTACTATCATCTCAACGAGCATGCCACGGATGAGTAGATGCCAATGGTCAAGGTCGACGGTAGACTTTAGCTGCTGCACTGTCAAGACACCTGGCATGTGCAGATCAAATAACGACATGGCGTCTTCATCCGGTATATCCTCGTAGACATCGGGTACTTGTTGGCCTGAAGTTGAGAAGTAGCGTTGCTTGTCTAATTTTGGGGCAAATACTTCATCTAGAGAGTGCCATTCGAACGTCTCTGGGTCTATGTGATGGATAGTGATGAATATTAGTTAGGTTAGGCGTGATGTAATAGGGTGGGATGGGACGAACCCTGTATGTACTGTGGTCTGAAAGTGCCTTTGTACCGCATCTTAGGACACGAATGGATATAATACCCTGCTTCTCTTAGCATATATATATATAGATATATATAAATCATCGAGATTCAAGTTGAAAGAAAAAGGGGGTAAAATACCCATGTAGTAATGCTGGAAATGCATCTCTTGCGTCAAGGCAATCTCTCTCATGGCACTTATCTTGCCCAGCTCGAACTTTTCGTACTCGGGGTCATAGCTATCAAGGTCAGTATATATATATATATATAAACCATGGCTAGAGGCAGGCCAGAAACGTACAAGATATACACCGAACTGACGGAGTGAGGGAGCAAGTCCAGCACCGCCACGGCAACCAGCTTCCCATCAAGACGGTAGCACTGATGGTACGATCCCAGCTTCCGCTCAACTGTAGTGGTACTTCCGTCTTCCTGGGTGATGGTATGTTTGACTGTCTTCTGTTTGATGCCGGAGCACAAGAAACGCTTAAAATCCGAGTGTTTCCAGCGCGACTCGTGCTCTTTATGTATGGTGGTCTGATACCTCAGGAACAGCTCGAACCTACCACGCGTTTACGTTAACCGAACGTTATCCCAGGCACATAAAAGGAGATAAACCCGGCAACCTACTTGGCTACTGAAAATGAGTCTGATTCAAGGTTGATTTCAAACTTGTGTGCTGGCTCGATGGTCCTCTTGGTAAGCGGGTTGACAGGCCGGGGCAGGGAAGGGTACTCCGTCTCATGCACCCGCTGGCCGAGATCGAATGTTTGGTCATGTCTTTTTTTCTCCTGCCTTGATCGAGGACACAGACGTGCTGCAGCATGGACGTACTCTGTACCCAGCACAAACGCAGTCCATCTGTTCAGCGCCTTTCTCTGGTCTCGGCGGGGTCTATATTGACTCGGATCCAGCCTTGTCACTGTCAGTATGCATGGGTTTACAGTAAGG